TCAAATAGTGTACCTGTATAGTTGAACTAGGAATATGATGATATAGCTACAAATATATTACAATGATGCTCTAGTAATAACTCTTTTGTTTCACAGAACTGGACAGAGAGATTTAACCTTGGCTTGGTGAGTCCATCCAAACATTTTCTGTTTCTCAAATCTAAGACATAACATTTTTCATCATTTGCTTCTATTCTGGGCAGCTCATGTACTTTGTTTCCAAGTTCCTATACTATATACCTTTCTAGCACCTTTATTTTCTTTGTAAAGCTGATAGAGTGCCAGTGCTCTGACCCGTCCAAAGCATTTGTCTCCAAGATGTCCTCATGGGGCCCAACGGTGTTTTGTCTCCAAAACAATCTCAGTGGTTCTCCTGAATGATATATTATAGACAAACACTGTGAGGTCTTACACACACTGAAGGACAGCTACACAGATGGTGGAAGTGCAGGTTGGGTGCTTCTGAGGAGGATGTCTTGGAAATTGAAACCCATTGGGTGGGGCAGAACTTCTGTGAGGTCATTACACACTGGAAACTGCTGCATGCAAGGAAGCTAGAAATGCAGGTGATGCTGTGTCCTAAAGTGTTTGCATGCTATGTTTTATTTGATGTGCTGGATTAAAGTGATATTAAAGGAAGATTTAAAAGGAAATAACAAACATTTCATACTTACCTGCTTTTGCAGTGGGTTTTTGCACAGAGCAGCCCTGATCCTCCTCTTCACAGGTCCCTGCCAGTTGCTGCTCCTGGTCCACCCCTCCTGCTGAGTGCCGTCCCCATAGCAAGCAGCTTGTTAATGGGCACCTGAGCCGTTTTGCTCTTTGTGTTCTGCTCTCTCCTCATTGGCTCACTGGCTATGACTGACAGTAGCGTGGGTAGCCAATGGCTTCTGCTGCTGTCTCAGCCAACAAGGAGGAAGAGTGCCTGGAGAGTTGCTACTCTCAACCACATCGCTGAATTGAGATGGGGCCCAGGTAAGTATTGTAGGTGAAGGTAAAAACCCTTCAGCCTGGGTTAAAACCACTTTAAGCACTTCATTTGTAAATATTTTTTAATATTGTCTAATCATGGAGGCTCTACCTTTGAAATGCGTAGGGTTGGAGGTGAATGAAGCACTGCAGTGGAGTATTAAAATCAGTAACCCCTGGTTACTGCAATAGAAGAGCTGGCCTCTGATGGACTGTTCAATGGAAAAAAAAATTCTGATTTAACCTATAGTACAGATTTGCTTGTGAGTACAGTAATGTCTTTCTACAATAAAGAATATCTGTGATATTTTTCAAAAAACAGCACTTGTGTTTGTTTGCATTTATAGCACTTTTACAATATGCAGTAAAGAAGGTCTTTAGTTGTGTCCAAGAGAGCACAGGAAGAAAGGAGTGTGGCGGGAGTCTTGTGTTGTGGTGGTGATCCAGTGCTGATATCAAGGCTTGGGGAGGAAAGAAAGAAGTGTCCTGGAGGAGCACAGGAATAAAGAAGTGTGGTGTGAGTCCTGTGTTGTTGTGTGGATCCAATACTGATATCAAGGTCTGGAGGAGGAAAGACTGAACGCTGTAAGGAGAAACCCATGCTTTACTGGGAGTAAAGAAAAGCAGCACGGTTTTGAATGTCCCTGGGTACGTGAATTGAGACTTTGTGGTTGATTTACTAAATGCAAATAGGCTGTTTAGTTTGCAAGGGGAAGTTGTACTTTGCAGGGGGAATTTGTCCCAATCATGTCCCAAGGAAAAAGAAAAAAAAAAAACAGCATTTCTTTTTTGCATGATTGAATGAAAAAAGTTTCAGCAGGAATTTACCTCATTCACTAAGCTCTGGGGAAAATTCCCTTGCAAAGTGAATAGCCTATTTGCTTTAATAAATCAACCCAGGCAATTGTAGGGGTACCGTGCATTCCCCCAGAGGATAATCTATAAATGACAGTGCTCCCAACAAGAACTTTTAGGATTACTGAACTGATTTTAAAGACTTGCTAATGTGTGGGTGTTATATCATTTTTTGTTAAGTGCAATATATGTTTTTTACTGTGGATTTTTATTCTATATGCATGATGAATGTACATAATCTTTTGGTTTTTGGATTAGGCAACTATGGTATTGTATAGTTTGAGATTTGAAACTATTATCTGTTAAGGTCTCGCTGATTGCAGTGATATTGAGACATATATTCTACACAGGGTGAGCTGTGTTATCAGCAGTTCTCTTGTTAAGGTAGCACGGTGTTAAAGGAGAAGTATGACCAAAGCTCTTCTGGCCTTACTTCTCCTACTGGTCACAAGAATGCACTTAGTTCTGCACTTCTGTGACCTAGATTCAGCTGACAACAGGCTAAAATCTGCTGTCAGTGACGTCACAGAGCCAGCCACATCATTCCCTTCACAGTCCAGCATACCTTTGGGTGTTAAAAGGGCAGAGCAAAGAGTGGTGTCTGACGTCACCACTCTGTGCACACAGCAGACCCAAGAAACTGAGCAATCAACAGTTTGTTTTGATCGCTTAGTTCTTGGCTGTAGAGCTGGCGGGGAACAGCTGCAGCATCGGATCAATGCTGAAGCAATCTAGGTAAGTATAATCATTTGGTATTTTCCATTACCACACTTCTTTCTTAAGGTATTCTTTTTCAACTACACATGAGATTTATTCAAGGGATTTTTTTACATTATGAATATTTACTGGTATTTGATACATATTTATTGGGATACATGTTTTTGTACTTACTAATAATATAAATTATCTGCGCAACCTTCAAATAACCAAATATTTAATAACCTTGATGTGCTTTAATTTTGCTGCAATGCACTAAATGTGACTCCACAAACAAACCTACAAACCAAAATTAAAAAGAAAGTGCTTCTCTACATTTATAAATCATAATTAACTTTTGCCGACCAGCCACTGTAGAAATACGGTGGCAGGTCGGCATGGCTGGGTAAAACTACCTTTTAAAACGTGCAACGATTGCAAAACAGGTAGGGGGCGCGCGCGAGGCACGTGCCCGCCCTACCCGTCCCGACCGATCGCGGCCGCTGGTGTCAGTCGCCGGGTCACGGCCGGTCATTACCCTACCGTGTTGTCCCAGCGATTAGCGGCAATCACTGACAGAGAGGACAGCTGCAGTGTTTATATTGCAGCTGTGCTTTCTGTCAGTCGCCTGTCAGCTCCTGACATGCTGATCTGGAATAGAAGAGTTTATCTCTCGGATCAGTGTGTTACCGTGCAGTACACACCACCGCCCCCTAGTAAAACACTCCCCTCACACAGTTAACCCTTTCAGTAAATAAAAAGTTACCTCTTCCTCCCCAGTGCCATTAGTACAGTGTCAGTGTTTTTTTTTTTGCACTGATCACTGTATTTGGTGTCACTGGGGATGTCAGTGACCCCAAGTCAGTTCCCCCCAGTGTCAGAATGTCCGCCGCAGTCCCGCAGTCCTGCCATAAGTCTCCGATCGCCGCCATAAGTTGCTGATCGCCGCCATTATTAGTATAAAAAAAAATTATTAAAAAATCCCAGTATCTTTCCCGCTATTTGTAAATGCTATAACATTCACGTAAACCAATTAATTTACACGTATTGGGTTTTTTTTTTTTTAGCAAGGACATGTTTTGCAGAATACCATTTTGGCAGAAATTTATGACTAAATTTGATTTTTACATTTTTTTTTACTGGACATGTTTATAGCAAAAAGTCCAATATGTTATTGTTTTTTTTCCTCAAAATTCTCAGCCTTTTTCTTTATAGCGCAAAAATAAAAAAACGCATAGGCAATCGAAAAATACCACCAAGCTCTCAATTTGTGGGAAAAAAGGATGTAAATTTAATTTATGTACCGTTATTGCATGACCGCGCAATTGTCCGTTAAACTAGTACAGCGCTGTATAGCTAAAAAATGGCGTAAATTGCAGTATCTATACCATAGTTTGTAGACGCTATAACTTTTACACAAAGCAATCAATATACACTTATTGGGATTTTTTACCAAAAACATGTAGCAGAATACATTTTGGCCTCAATTTATAACCAACTTTGAGTTTACTATATATTTTTTATAGCTGAAAGTAAAAAATATAATTTTTCTTCTTTTTTTGTTTATAGCGTGAAAAAATAAAAAGCTCACAGGTGATCAAATACAGCGGGGATCGAAAGTTTGGGCACCCCAGCTAAAAATTTGTATTAATGTGCATAAAGAAGCCAAGGAAAGATGGAGAAATCTCCAAAAGGCATCAAATTACAGATTAGACATTCTTATAATATGTCAACAAAAGTTAGATTTTATTTCCATCATTTACACTTTCAAAATAACAGAAAACAAAAAATGGCGTCTGCAAAAGTTTGGGCACCCTGCAGAGTTAATATCTTGTACTGCCCCCCCTTTGGCAAGTATCACAGCTTGTAAACGCTTTTTGTAGCCAGCCAAGAGTCTTTCAATTCTTGTTTTGAGGTATCTTTGCCCATTCTTCCTTACAAAAGTCTTCCAGTTCTTTGAGATTTCTGGGCTGTCTGTCACGCACTGCTCTTTTAAGGTCTATCCATAGATTTTCAATTATGTTGAGGTCAGGAGTGTGAAGGCCATGGCAAAACCTTCAGTTTATGCCTCTTGATGTAATCCCCCCATGGATTTCGAGGGTGTGTTTAGGATCATTATCCATTTGTAGAAGCCATCCTCTTTTAACTTCAGCTTTTTCACAGATGGCATCAAGTTACCATCCAAAATTTGCTGAAATTTTATTGAATCCATTTTTCCTTCTACTCGTGAGATGTTCCCTGTGCCACTGGCTGCAACACAACCCAAAAGCATGATTGATCCAACCCCATGCTTAACATTTGGATAGAGTTCTTTTCATTAAATTCTGTGCGCCCTTCTTCTCCAAACGTACCTTTGCTCATTCCAGCCAAAAAGTTCAATTTTAACCTCATCGGTGTGGAAAAATTTCGATTCGAGTCGAATATATTCGCTCGCTGTGAATTTAACTTAAAAAAGGGTGTTTCTAGGCTTCAGAGAGACTTAATATTAGTGCTGAACACTGTACCTTTAATTTAAATGCCCTTGGAGTCTGCTGGGGAAGAGAAATAATACTGTCAGTCAGTATGACATGCAGATGAGTGCCGTCGATCTTAGAATCACCGCACACTTCACTCATTTGGGCAGTCACGGGGCCAAAACCAGAGTGTGGAGCCACAGTGTGGCGGTGGAGGCAGCAGCAATGGGAGGCCATACAGCACCCTATGACAAAAATGGAAACCACCAGCAGTGTGAGGAGACCTGAAAGTGGCACATGGCAGAGTGTGGCGATAGAGACAGCAGCAATGGGAGGCCGTACAGGGACCCATGACACACTCTGGACCTGGCAGCAGCATGAGGAGGCGGTACGGGGCCCATGGCAGATTACGGGCCTGGCAGCAGCATGAGGAGTCGGTACGGGGGCCCATGGCAGATTACGGGCCTGGCAGCAGCAATGGGAGGCCGTACAGGGACCCATGACACACTCTGGACCTGGCAGCAGCATGGGGAGGCGGTACAGGGGCCCATGACAGATTACGGGCCTGGCAGCAGCATGAGGAGTCGGTACGGGGGCCCATGACACACTCTGGACCTGGCAGCAGCATGAGGAGGCGGTAGGGGCGCATGACAGATTACGAGCCTGGCAGCAGCAACTTGGACAGGAGGACGTTCAGCTTCTGCACCGTCTGGTGCGTGCTCGCAAACTGTTGTCTCTTGGAAACGGATTCCAAGAAAGACTGCTGACGGAATCCGTGAAGAGGAGTAGCAGGAGAAGGAGCATCTGAACGAGCGGAATATGCCAACAAGCGACAACAGGGGCCCATGACAGATTACGGGCCTGGCAGCAGCATGAGGAGTCGGTACGGGGGCCCATGGCAGATTAGGGGCCTGGCAGCAGCTATGGGAGGCCCGTAATCTGCCAGCACCCTATGACAAAAAATGGAACCCACCAGCAGTGTGAGGAGACCTGAAAGTGGCACATGGCAGAGTGTGGCGATGGAGACAGCAGCAATGGGAGGCCGTACAGGGACCCATGAGAGACTCTGGACCTGGCAGCAGCATGAGGAGGCGGTATAGGGGCCCATGGCAGATTAGGGGCCTGGCAGCAGCTATGGGAGGCCCGTAATCTGCCAGCACCCTATGACAAAAAATGGAATACACCAGCAGTGTGAGGAGACCTGAAAGTGGCACATGGCAGAGTGTGGCGATGGAGACAGCAGCAATGGGAGGCCGTACAGGGACCCATGAGAGACTCTGGACTTGGCAGCAGCATGAGGAGGCGGTATAGGGGCCCATGGCAGATTAGGGGCCTGGCAGCAGCTATGGGAGGCCCGTAATCTGCCAGCACCCTATGACAAAAAATGGAACACACCAGCAGTGTGAGGAGACCTGAAAGTGGCACATGTTTGGGGCATGATTCATGGCGGATTTAGTCAGTTGTGTCAGGAACTGGTGGTTTGAAATCCAGACTAATCCACGCCTGATTCATTTTCACAAACGTCAGTCTCTCCACACTTTGGGTGGACAGTCGTGTCCTCCGCGGAGTTGCAATACCTCCTGCCGCACTAAACACGCGCTCCGATGCCACGCTACTGGCCGGGCATGACAGCCTTTCAAGGGCAAATTCAGCTAGTTGGGGCCAAAGGTCAAGTTTCGTTGCCCAGTAGTCAAGGGGATTGTCTACCTCGGTTGGCAGGGTGCTGTCCAAGTAGGCCTAAGCCTGTTGTTTGAGGTCCTGCTCCAGGTCCACCTGATGCTGCTGCTGCTGCTGCTGCTGCGGCTGGTTAGTAGTTTCCTCACTGCGCTGGTGAAGAAAGCTACTCATCATCGACTGCAGACTGAGCAGCAGCTGCTGCTGTGGAGCTGCCACTGCTCCTACCACCCCCCCACCCCTCCCCTGCTGCCATGGCAGCGGAACGCGAGCGCACAGGGCCCACAGTGTCTGAGGATGGACGTTGGCGCAGACAGGCAGAGACCAGCTGACTACATAGGTGGTTTTTATAGTACGTTATTTTGGCCTCCCTCTCAGCAGGTGTGAAAAAGGCCACCATTTTTGAACGGTAGCGAGGGTCCAACAAGGTGGACAGCCAAAAGTCATCCCTCTCTGTCTGATGGTTATTATTCGGCTGTCGCTACGCAAGCAACCGAGCATGCTATGGGCCATTTGTGCCAAGGAATGCGAGGGACTCCCTGCCTCCATCTCCACAGCATACTGCCACGGTGCGTCTGGGTCCTCTGTCTCCTCCTCCTCCTCCTCTACCAGATGCTCCTGCTCCTCCACTCCTGTCCGCTGAGTGGAAAAACCACCCATTTCACTCAATAATTCCTGAGCACCAATGTCCTCCTCTACCTCCTCCTCTTCTTCCTGTCCTGCCCCCACAGGGGTCATGTGGCGTTGAGATCTGTGCGCCACGTCTACCGCACCCTGACCAGCCATTGTTAACAGCATTTGTTCCAGGACGTGCAACAGAGGAATGACGTCGTTCATCCCATAGTCCTGCCGACTCACGAATAGCGTGGCCTCCTCAAAGGGCCTGAGCAAGCGCAGGTGTCACGCATGAGCTGCCAATGGCTGACATCTAAGTTACACAGGGACCTTTATCCGCTTTTAACATCAGGAAATCTGTGATGGCCTTTCGCTGTTCGTAAAGGCGGTCTAACATATGTAGGGTTGAATTCCACCTTGTTGCAACGTCACAGCATGAGGAGTCGGTACGGGGGCCCATGGCAGATTACGTGCCTGGCAGCAGCAATGGGAGGCCCGTAATCTGCCAGCACCCTATGTCAAAAAATCAACACACCAGCAGTGTGTGAGGAGACCTGAAAGTGGCACATGGCAGAGTGTGGCGATGGAGACAGCAGCAATGGGAGGCCGTACAGGGACCCATGAGACACTCTGGACTGGCAGCAGCATGAGGAGGCGGTATATAGGGGCCCATGGCAGATTAGGGGCCTGGCAGCAGCTATGGGAGGCCCGTAATCTGCCAGCACCCTATGTCAAAAAATTCTACACACCAGCAGTGTGAGGAGACCTGAAAGTGGCACATGGCAGAGTGTGGCGATGGAGACAGCAGCAATGGGAGGCCGTACAGGGACCCATGAGAGACTCTGGACCTGGCAGCAGCATGAGGAGGCGGTATATAGGGGCCTATGGCAGATTAGGGGCCTGGCAGCAGCTATGGGAGGCCCGTAATCTGCCAGCACCCTATGTCAAAAAATTCTACACACCAGCAGTGTGTGAGGAGACCTGAAAGTGGCACATGGCAGAGTGTGGCGATGGAGACAGCAGCAATGGGAGGCCGTACAGGGACCCATGAGAGACTCTGGACCTGGCAGCAGCATGAGGAGGCGGTATATAGGGGCCTATGGCAGATTAGGGGCCTGGCAGCAGCTATGGGAGGCCCGTAATCTGCCAGCACCCTATGTCAAAAAATTCTACACACCAGCAGTGTGTGAGGAGACCTGAAAGTGGCACATGGCAGAGTGTGGCGATGGAGACAGCAGCAATGGGAGGCCGTACAGGGACCCATGAGAGACTCTGGACCTGGCAGCAGCATGAGGAGGCGGTATATAGGGGCCTATGGCAGATTAGGGGCCTGGCAGCAGCTATGGGAGGCCCGTAATCTGCCAGCACCCTATGTCAAAAAATTCTACACACCAGCAGTGTGAGGAGACCTGAAAGTGGCACATGGCAGAGTGTGGCGATGGAGACAGCAGCAATGGGAGGCCGTACAGGGACCCATGAGAGACTCTGGACCTGGCAGCAGCATGAGGAGGCGGTATATAGGGGCCTATGGCAGATTAGGGGCCTGGCAGCAGCTATGGGAGGCCCGTAATCTGCCAGCACCCTATGTCAAAAAATTCTACACACCAGCAGTGTGAGGAGACCTGAAAGTGGCACATGGCAGAGTGTGGCGATGGAGACAGCAGCAATGGGAGGCCGTACAGGGACCCATGAGAGACTCTGGACCTGGCAGCAGCATGAGGAGGCGGTATATAGGGGCCTATGGCAGATTAGGGGCCTGGCAGCAGCTATGGGAGGCCCGTAATCTGCCAGCACCCTATGTCAAAAAATTCTACACACCAGCAGTGTGTGAGGAGACCTGAAAGTGGCACATGGCAGAGTGTGGCGATGGAGACAGCAGCAATGGGAGGCCGTACAGGGACCCATGACAGACTCTGGACCTGGCAGCAGCATGAGGAGGCGGTATATAGGGGCCTATGGCAGATTAGGGGCCTGGCAGCAGCTATGGGAGGCCCGTAATCTGCCAGCACCCCTATGTCAAAAAATTCTACACACCAGCAGTGTGAGGAGACCTGAAAGTGGCACATGGCAGAGTGTGGCGATGGAGACAGCAGCAATGGGAGGCCGTACAGGGACCCATGAGAGACTCTGGACCTGGCAGCAGCATGAGGAGGCGGTATATAGGGGCCTATGGCAGATTAGGGGCCTGGCAGCAGCTATGGGAGGCCCGTAATCTGCCAGCACCCTATGTCAAAAAATTCTACACACCAGCAGTGTGTGAGGACCTGAAAGTGGCACATGGCAGAGTGTGGCGATGGAGACAGCAGCAATGGGAGGCCGTACAGGGACCCATGAGAGACTCTGGACCTGGCAGCAGCATGAGGAGGCGGTATATATAGGGGCCTATGGCAGATTAGGGGCCTGGCAGCAGCTATGGGAGGCCCGTAATCTGCCAGCACCCTATGTCAAAAAATTCAACACACCAGCAGTGTGTGAGGAGACCTGAAAGTGGCACATGGCACATGGCACATGGCAGAGTGTGGCGATGGAGACAGCAGCAATGGGAGGCCGTACAGGGACCCATGAGAGACTCTGGACCTGGCAGCAGCATGAGGAGGCGGTATATAGGGGCCTATGGCAGATTAGGGGCCTGGCAGCAGCTATGGGAGGCCCGTAATCTGCCAGCACCCTATGTCAAAAAATTCTACACACCAGCAGTGTGTGAGGAGACCTGAAAGTGGCACATGGCAGAGTGTGGCGATGGAGACAGCAGCAATGGGAGGCCGTACAGGGACCCATGAGAGACTCTGGACCTGGCAGCAGCATGAGGAGGCGGTATATAGGGGCCTATGGCAGATTAGGGGCCTGGCAGCAGCTATGGGAGGCCCGTAATCTGCCAGCACCCTATGTCAAAAAATTCTACACACCAGCAGTGTGTGAGGAGACCTGAAAGTGGCACATGGCAGAGTGTGGCGATGGAGACAGCAGCAATGGGAGGCCGTACAGGGACCCATGAGAGACTCTGGACCTGGCGCAGCAGCATGAGGAGGCGGTATATAGGGGCCTATGGCAGATTAGGGGCCTGGCAGCAGCTATGGGAGGCCCGTAATCTGCCAGCACCCTATGTCAAAAAATTCTACACACCAGCAGTGTGTGAGGAGACCTGAAAGTGGCACATGGCAGAGTGTGGCGATGGAGACAGCAGCAATGGGAGGCCGTACAGGGACCCATGAGAGACTCTGGACCTGGCAGCAGCATGAGGAGGCGGTATATAGGGGCCTAT